CACACACACACACACACACACACCACCACCACCATTAATATTATCATCTTCATCATCAACAGAACGCACACACGCGGTTCAAAATGACAACAACAGCAGCAATAGTAGGCCGTGTGTTTCACCAACCTTTAACCATTCCAATGAGAAAGAATTATTGCTTTCGGGTCCCCCAATAGTGCGATCGTATTCCAAAATAAATATGAATGTTTGTTTTTCCTACACCAGCAATGTATTTTCACTATACTTTTACCGAATTCCGAAAAGTGAATAAATCTATTAGACTTCTTCCTTCCGACAACAATGTGAATGTTCACTGTATCCTTTCAGAGTATTCCAAAATGGGAACAGGTCATCCTTACACACACCAAAAAAAAAATGAGAATTGGTCATTCTTCTGACACACAAACTCGGACCGCAGAACCAATCTGATGGCGTATGCGCGGTCAGACAGACAGACAGAGGTGAGAGGTCATGACATGAAATGATGTACTATCTCACCAGCACAATCATATGATCATGTCTGCTGACTGACCGCCAGAGAAACACGCCGTTAGGAATCCACAAGGGAGGTCAAGGGAAAACTGATCATTGCACAAACTTAGTGAAGAATAAAAGCTTCAACTAACGGAACATTAAACGAATAAATAAATAAGTGGATAAATGAGTAAATGAATAAATAAATAAATAAGTTCAAATAAAAACCAAAAAAAACAACAACCAAATAACCAAAAACAGAGCTAATCTAGCTATTAGCTGGCTTCTGCGGCCTAGAAAATAAAACTTCTCACCACACAAACAATACAAGAAAAAGATAAAATAAACAACTATTACTAAGAAGACTAAGGAAGCAACAGACTACAGCTTCTAGCTCCAGCGACCTAGATCTAATCTAGATCTACACTATTGTTGTAGCGGCAAACTGCTTCAGGAAATCCTCACTATAATAATTATCATCATCATGTCATGTAGGATGGGAGAAAAACACAATGGACCAACAACACACAGATGTTATAATAGTAATAATAGGCGCTTGTTATCTGTCTCTCCATGGCCTAGCACTACCACAATGTAACTACAGCACTGCTCTCACAGTCAGTCCACGCTCCATACCACACGACTCGTCGCTATCATGTGGTGAATAGTGGTGATTCCTTTACCACTGACTGGGACTAGCAGCCTAGCTAGCTTACTAGACTGATGCCGAGTGTGTGTGTGTGTGTGTGTTGAGGGGGAGAGGGCCGGCTGGCCCCTATCCCGGTCAATGATGAACCCGGTTAACCGGATGATGTGCCAATGCATGTGTTGTTTGCGTCATAGTTTACTGGGAGATGTTCAAG